CCCAATTCTGTTCAGGTCCATGAAGGTCAGAGTAGAGGCGGCAAGGTTGTATGTAGTTCAGCGAGAAAGGATGCTGACCATCCTTACCCGCCTCTGGTCCCTGGTGTGCCTTCCAAAGCTAGATTTGGAAAAAATGATGTGCTTCAATTCATATCTCCTACAATGGGAGTAACTGCGTCTCCTTGCACTCGTCTCACAGAGAAGTGTCATATTGACGCACATTCCAGGAATGAAAATTTTATTGAGCATTTACTATGTACCAGGCAGTGAGCTAGATACATGGACAACCCAGCTGGATATGTTTTGTTTTGCAGCTTGCTTTTTATCTTAGTTCATGGACGGCTATCTTCTTATTGGTCTTCCTGCTTCAGTTCTCAAGGACCTCACTGTCTCTGGGTCAGGAGATCTAAACATAAAAACTCCAAAGCAAAGAGAAAGGGTCAAAAATAGGAGAATGCTTAATATGTTCACCATGAAAAAAGACAGAGAAGGGACAAGAAAAAGCTCTCCAAATCTCCGTGTCTGAGAGAGGACTGCCAACAAAAACTTCTGAAATTCATTTTCTTCCAGGAAAGAGGGCTAACAAAAAGTTTCCAATGGGTTTTTTTTCAAAGCACTGGGTTGCAGTCCCATAATGAATAAAGGGAAATTGAGAAGGTTTGTTGTATCTCTGACTTTTTGAGGCAGATCTCAAGAAGGACCAATATGCCCTAAGGCAGAAAAATGCAACAAGATAGAGAATTGGGCTTCGGTGACAGCAGAGGGTACCTGAGCTGGCTGAGGTCTAGAGGCCCCACATATGTACACGCAAACCCCAGGAGCTCCATGGTGACCTGTTTAATACATTGGGGGTGTACACAGGTTTTGTGCAGAAGACAAAAAGCTTCTGCTGCTAAAAAATATATATATAAATATTCCAATAAAATTGCCAAAGTGAGCAGGCCCCAGATGGTAGAGAGCTTTGAACTATCCTATGGTCTATGGTTCCCCATTTGGGTTTTAGGAAAATCATTCCAGCTGTTTGGTGAAGGAAGGGCTGGAGAGGCATGAGATGAGAAGACTAATTAGAAGGCAGATGTCGATGAGCTAAGATAAAAAGCAAGCTGCATAATAAAAGGTATGCAATAGTCTATTTAAAAAGTCCCCATATATGTATATGTTATAAATTCACAGAAAAAGATCAATTAATTTTTAAAAAAATGAAGTTGCAGAATAACAGGTACACAATGACTCTGTTTATAGTGAAAAACGCCCATGTGCATGTTTTTATATTTCATTAAAATGGTCTGGAAAGATACACACCAAGCTGTTAATGGTAGTTTACCACTACAGGAGAGAATATAGATTTGGGGAAGTGGATGAATATTTTTCCTCTTTCCTCTATACATTTCCAATGGTTAGAAAAATTTTATAATGAGCATTTATTGCTTTTATAATTTTAAGAGATTTCTAAAACTTAAAAAATAAAAGATTACCATAAAAGATACAGTTTCTGTAGCAAGAAACTATCAGGGCTTAACACCAAAGCAGTAGCCATGAGAATAGAAAGGGGAGAGTAAACCCAGCAGACAGACGCTGACAAAAGAGCAGAGACGAGTCCGGGGGAGGCTGGAGTCAGTTACACTTCTGGCGGCCCCACGAGGTGGGCATTTTCACCTCACTTTACAGAAAATGGAATGGAGTGTTGGAGAGTCTTGCCCCAAAGCCCAGAACTGGTTACCAAGCCAGACTAGAACTTTGGCCCACTTGACTCCAAATCTTAGACTTCCTGCCTTGGCCAGCTGATTTCCTTCATATCCAGGGCGCTTTTAACTTCCTTTTCTGTGCTCAAGGGCTGAGCTGATGCAGCAGTAGGAAGCTGGGGAGCTAGTTCTGACAACACAGAGCAGGCCCTGGGGAAAATGGTAAGGCTGAAACATGCTCCCATCTCCCCGGTGGGTGGTAAGTCCCAGCTGCTAAAAACGGCCATTAACAGACCAATACCCACATGCCAGCTTAGCGCCTGAAGATTCTTAAGTGCTTGTTTCTACAGAATCAGTAATGCCTCTGCAGCATCCAATATAGCACCAAGTCCTCACTAAATTCACTGAGTGGGTGTTTAATAAATATATGTTAACGGGAGGGCAGCAGGATCACCTGAAGCAAATATGAAATTGCATTTGATTCCTTATTTAGATCAGGAGTGTTCTGAGAGCATTTTTTTTCCTCAACAATTCAGGATGTAGGTAGTCAATGCACGATTGTGACAGATAATGGCTGTGATCCTACCGAGAGAGTAATTTAACCACTCTGTTATAAAGCTGCTTCGGTAGAAAAGTAGCAATGATATCTGTGCTCCAAGACTTCAGTCAAACAGCCAACCAAGCAAATAGCATTTACTAAAATCTGTGTGTGCCCACACCATCCTAGGCACAATGGAGAACCCTACGGAATAATAATAACACAAGGGCCCTCTTCCTAAGGAATTTCCACTCTAGGGGGAACCAACGCCAAATTCAGAAAGTGATTAGATAAATGCCTGTTACTTCTGGATGTCCAGCAAATGAATTCCATAGGACTCCAGAGAGAGGGGAAACCCTCTAAAGAAGAGGGACTTGGGCAGTGGGGTCAAGAATAAAGACAAAAAAGACAGGGCTTCTCCCCAGCTTCTTAGGACCATAAAGGCATTTCACAAGTGTCCAGAAAAGCGCCAATAGCTTTCAGGCTATGCCCCCTCTGCCCCCCCAGCACGGCATGGCTGCTTGGCCAGAACTATTTAATGCCCTGACCAGCACTCTATATGTTCATGTGCCAACAGGCTATTGCAGATCTAGGAACAAGCAACCAACCCCAAGCCACCCAAACACCCCTTGGAATTTCCACTGTTTATTCAATAGGCAACACTGGACGTCAGAATTCTGTCATTCCAGTCAACCATTTCCCACACACACCACAGAGCAGATAGGAGGAAGCCTTGTGCAAACACACTGCCGAAGATCTCTATGGTAAATAAGGACCGAGAGTAAAGGGGTGTTGGAGATAAGAATCAAAGGGCAATGATATGTCGGAGGAACTTAGCACTTGATGCTATCTCCACAAAATACACTAGCCTGTGGAAATTTACTACAACATTTGATCAGCAAATCTGTGCGCAATGAGTTCTATTTCTCATATAAGTAGGATCTATATATGTACTTCGCTCTATGTCCAACTGGCTTTAGGGGAAAGGCTGCCTCACAAACTAGGGTCAGCCCTCTTGCTGGGCTGAAACAATCTCTCCAGAAGTCATTTTAGTCATAATCCTGCACCAGCCAACAAAAAGCCCTCTGAGATAAGAGGGCCAGAGCACTTTAAATTTTTTTTTCAATTTCTCAGTTACAGTTGATATCCAATATTATCTTCATTTCAGGTGCACAACATAGAGTTTAGGCATTTATATAACTTACGAAGTCATCACTCTGCTAAATCTAGTACTCACTGGGGAAAAGCTCTTTATCCTGATGAAGGTCCTTCTCCCCCTGACTCGAGCTGATCTTTATAATTTTTTTCCTCATTGTCCCTCCCCAACCACTTCTTAGCCCCAATTCAAATGCATCCTGTGCTTTCCTATTCCTCTGCCTAGTCCATGGAGCTCCCTCATCCTGGGACATCATCCCTGCCCCTTTGCACCAATGCCTCTTAAATCCAACCCTCGACTTCAGTGCTGTCTCCTCCATGAAGTTTTCAACTGCCCACCCTGTTGAAGGTGCCTTCTTGTTTTCTGAATTCTATATGCATGCCAGTCCCACGGGAGGCGTCTCTTACTCTTAGGGTCTGAACTCACCCACTAGGCTACTTCCTCTTTCTCCACCCCACAGTCTAGCACCAAGTCCTGCTGGTTCTGCTGGCCCTTCATCTCTCCTAAGTGTCTCCTCCTCTCCATTTTCACGGCCTCTGTTGAGCTCAGGCCCCCCTCACCTCTCCCCTGGGAGATGCAGTAGCCTCCTGCATCTCCGCTGTCCAGCCCTGCCTACATAGCAACCAGGCTGGACTTACTGAAAATCAATTCTGATCATGTCAACCCTGACTTTCTGCTCTTTCGTATCTCCCCATGGCCTTCAGAACAGTATAAACCGCTCAGATAAATAAGAGGCTTTTTAGGATCTGATCTTCCCTCTAATCCTCCCATGAAAGCACTCGACCAGCTCTAAAACCTTAGTGTCCATCGGAATCGCCCAGGCTCCTTGTTAAAAAATACGTGTACCCCGTCCACGCCACAGAGAAGTCTGGTTCACTAAGCACCTGGGAGAGCCCAGGAACATGACTACAGGGGAACAAAAGAAAAGGTAGCATTTATATAGTCATGGGAAACATGAATATTTACAAAAATATGAGGTCCCCATATTTGGTTCTTCATCAAAACCAAAAATATGTGGTTTTGAGAGAGACATTGTGAGGCTCATACTTTGAGAACACCTGATAGAGATATTTGGCCCTTTTATCTCAGGACTGGAAAAATAATTTTTGAGAAGCCAGTGAAGGCAGTAGTTAAGATTAGAGGCTTGGGAGCAAACCTGAAGTTCCCATGAGCCATTGGGAAGGTAACTTACTGAGTCTGTGTCTCCTCTGCAAAACAGAGATAATAACAGTATTCATCTTACAGGTTAAGATTAAATGAGGCGTTCATTATAAAACGGTTAGCACAGCGTTTAGCTCTGCAAACATCCTACAACTGGTAGAGATTGAAGGCAAACAGTGAAAAGCAACAACATTCAGGTTTTTATGCTGCAGTGCCTCTGAGCGGGAAGAGATTTTAGGGATCCCTTCTTGATGTTTATCCAACTTTAACTGAAGGCTTTCACTGACCCAGACTCTGGCCACCAGCTGCTGAGGCAGCCTTTCCACTGTTAAGCCATTCCAGTTGTTATGTTAACTTCCTCCTTAAAACTAGTAGAATTATGTTTGTCAGTTGCCACTGTCCATGAATCCGAATCTGCCCTCTGGAGCATTGCCAAACAACACTATTCTTTTTTCCATAAGAGCCCCTCACTCGTGCAACCCAGTGGTGAGCCGATACTAAACCCCAGCTTAGGAAACAGGGTTGTTCTTCCTGGGGATAACTCTGTGCCGAAAGCGTGGGAACAGCTTAACAAGAAAAAAACAAAACAAAAAAAACCAAAAAGCGCCCTTCAAATGTTTGAAGGTAATTATCGTGGCTTTCCTTGGCGTTTTCTTCTTTAGGAAGACAAAAGTACAGGGGATAAAACTGAATTCAGAGTCAGAGGCCTGAGCTTTTGTCTCAAACCAGCTGGGTATCCTTGGGCACATCACTTGACAAGGCTGAGCCTCAGTTTCACTCTAGCCCAAAATTCCATGATTCTACGATTTCTTCTACTTTTCTCTTCCTCAGGCACAGACATGTTTCCAGGCCCCTCACTGTGGCAGCTCTTTGACAAGAACAGAACCGCAGTCCCCCTTTGGGAAAGTTCTTGATTCTCACTCTCACCAAGTGGTTTGAGTGGACGATGCCCAGTTTTTAGAAATCTCACACCTGAGGCCATCACCACGGGCCATTCATAGTCCCTGCATCCCCTGGCCGCAGTCAACTAGCCCAGAGTTAGGCAGCTTACCCACGTTTAACTAAGTAGACCAGAGGGTACAAGTATTAGTTCCTCTCGGGAGCTGGACTTGGAAGGAGGTAAAGCTCCTAGGGGCTGTAATTCTCTTTCCTGGAGATGACTTACAAGAGAATGACACCCACATGCAGAGAAACACAAAAGAGACATGTGGGGAGGTAATCTTGTGAAGTTCAAGTCCTTGGTTCCAGATTATCTCTGAGGACCAACTACACTCCTGCCCTTCCCAGAGTTTGGTTAATCCCCCTTTTGCCCAAGCTGGGGTTCTCTCCTTACAAACAAACAAGTCTAGGGTAATACACTCACCTTTCTAAGCAGGTCTCAAATGAAGATAGTTCTGACTTATCCATCCCTACCCCCAACTTCTCCACCTAACTCTCCGCTCCCCTGATCTCCTGCCAACAGCTACTCCAGATGGGTAACTGGAGTCCATGTATAACACAAAAAGGGCTGTTACTTCTTCCAGTCTAGCCATTGTTCAGAAAGGCATTTCAAGGCTTCACCTTAGAGCAGTCGTGCCAGTTTGCTGATTCACATTGAGCACGTGGTCACCTCACACTCCCAGCTCTTTTTCTCACAAACGTTGGAAGCCAGGACTTTGCCTTTGCTGTCCCATGATTGTATAGTTCAGTTTGTTTTGTTCTGCAGTGGAGGGGGGTGAGGGGAGTGGGGGGAATGAGGTTTGGATCCTACTTGCAAATAAACACTTAGCCTTGTTAAATGTTATATGTTGGGCTGTGTCAGTGTTCCAGTCTCCTGAGATGGTTTTGACTCAAGATCCCATCATCAGTGACAAAGCCTCCCAACGAGTCTACCAAGTGCACCGCGTTACAGGTGTGCTCGGTATTCACTGCCTCAGTTCTTGGCTTCAGGGAGGGAAATTTGGGGCTCTGAACCCACGTCAGCAGCTTCCAACTCTGGCAGCCTTGTCATTTTCTGAGTACTTCTATTTGAGGTCTCCATAGTTATGGTAACATAAGGAAGTTAAATTTTTTATAACATCCAAGTATTTACTAACAAAATGCTCATTTTCAAAATTGGTCCCCACTTAAATATCTCTGCTTGCTTAATCTTAGTCTATATTCTCATCCATCAAGTCACATTTTTATTGCTTGTTCTCTCCCAGATTTAGGATTTCTCCACAATAAACTATAAATGCAATGCAATTTAATGCAATTTATAAATGCAGTGTAATTCCAGATTTTGCAAAAGAAGCACGATTTTATGAAGTTGATGAAAATGATGTTGGAAAATGTTTGACTCACAAGTTAAGCCAGTCTGGGGAAAGGTTACCAACCAAACAGGAAAGCGTTCAAAGAGATGCTACCCAAAAGTCAGAAGCCACTGATAGGAATGCATAATGATTGAGAGGCGGCCTTGAAAACTGTAAAAGTCAAATGCATTGTGAAATATATTTCAATACAGCCATTTTTAAAGTTGCATTTATTTATTTTTAAAGAGAGAAGAAGTGAAAGAGAGAGAGAAACATCGAAGTGCAAGAGACACATTGATGGGTTGCCTCTCACACGCCCCGAGCTGGGGGCCTGACCTACAACCCAGGCATATGCCCTGACTGGGAATCAGACCAGCAATGTTTTGGTTTGTGGGATAATGCCCAACCCACTGAGTCACACCAGTCAGGGCACAGCCATTTTTTAAAAGTCAAATGTGAGCTAAGGACTGTTATCTTGTGCAATCGTAAAATTGTGTTAAAAAATGGACTCAACCTTTTTTGCATAAAATCAAGCAACAGTTGGTTCAGTTTCTGTGAGATTTAAGAAATAGCGTACAGCCCTGGCCAGTGTGGCTCAGCGGGTTGGGCATTGTTCTGCAAAACGAAATTTCGCCCGTTTGATTCCCAGTCAGGGCACACGCCTGGGTTGTGGATTTGGTCCCTAATCAGAGTGCATGTCAGAGGATGTCTCTCACATCGATGTTTCTCTTTCTTTCTTTCTCCCTCCCTTCCTCTCTCTCTAAATATAAATAAATAAAATCCTTTAAAAAATAGCATACAGCTTAAATTATGATCAAAACTGTTAATATGATCAAATAAATTTACTTTTTTAATTTTTAGTTTTATTTTTCAAAATAAAGCCCCAATAAATTGTTTCCCAGGATCTGTATGTCTTTGGATTAGGAGGGCATCCTAAACCTGAGTTGTTGCCATTGTTGCAACTTTTGTCCATCGATCTTTTCCCTCAGAAAAGCCCGACCCCTCTGCTTTGCCACGTGACAGGCCTTTGACACATGGAAGACAGTTTCCATGATTCCAGTCGAACTTCTTTTCCCACAACAAGGCTTATTTCCTTCAAACATTTATCATCTGACAGAATTTAAAATTCCCACATTCATTTCAGCCATTCAGTACTTTACTGACGGCCACTGTGTGTGACGCTCTGTCCCAGGCAATGGGGACACAGCAGGAAAAAAAACCACCACTCTCCTGAGGCTTATATTCTTTTGAAGGGACAATAAATAAAAATAAGTAACTCAGTGGATGAGTAGATGAATGAATGAGTGGATGGATGGATGGATGGATGGATGGATATCTATATGTGGCTCCCACTGAAATAGTGAACACTTCATGTGAGCTGACCAAAGCAGGGTATAGGGGGACCCTCTTCTCTGACACCAGTACTTCTGTTCATAAACCTTGATGGGGCATTTGCTTTTTTTGGAGGTGACTTTGCTCTGTTGACCACGTTTAACTGCCTTCAACAAAACCTACCTGACCTTCTTACAAATGCTGCTCTTAAACTATATATCCCTTTATCCTGTTCTTGTACTACAGTTTGATAATTTTTTTTTTTTTTGGATCCTGAGCAGGATTTTTATTAATCCTTATTAATTTTAACTTATCTTTAGCCCATCGTTCTAACCACCTTACACTTAGATGAACTAGAAAGCAAAACTTTCAAACTGTGGGACTGTATTAATAATATACACACTTCTATAGCACTGCTGTCTACAAACTTCAGGGAAGAAGAATAATGTTCATTTTAAAATTGAATGCTTAAATAAAAGTACTCTAAAATTTTAGACAGTCCAAATTACTACTTTGAGAAAATGGCTGACCTGCCTGAAAGCCATGGTTAACCTGGGTTCCATGTTACCATTGGACAATCGTGTGCATAACATCTGCCATAACTACACACCATGCCTATTCTTCTCTTTCCCAAGATGGGTGCTCAGGAGACTCATTCTTTCCTTAATGGACGCTGTAAGGAACTATGTGAGGGGCCCTCAGGCTATCTCAGGTTCCTTTTATTATTCAAAGAAAGGCCCCTAACTTCTGTTTCAGAGCACTAGGAACTCGTTAAATGATTAATAGGACAACTGGCTATTTATTGGCCCCCTCCCTCCAGGACACATAAACTTGCCAAGAGCAGGACCTGAGTGTGACTTTTTCATCAAGTCTTCCCAGGACCTTGTAGAGTGCCACTCCTGTGATAGGCACTCTATAAGCTCAATAAATATTTGTTAAATATAAATATAAATTAACAGTTTCATCTCAGCCACTAACTGTGTAACATTGGGCAGATCCTCTAACCCATCTGGGTCCTACTTTGTTCATTTCAAACTAAAGGGGTTGGGCTAGATGATCCTGAGGTTTCTTTTCAAATGTTAATATTCTGTATTTCTACCTTGTTGTTGGCTCCTGTCTCTGTTCTCCCATTAGAGGCTCTAAAACTAGATGGTTTCCAGAGCACTCCCAAATTTTATTCACATGAACGCCCCGGACCATGGAAAGGAGGGGTGTTGAAGGACTTTTATAACCTATGGGACTCTGAATTCTAAGTGACTACAAAATAAAAATAAACATTTAGGCTGCGAAATCACCATATGATTATCTCAGCATTACATCTTCCTGGAAAATGTTTGACACACAAATCCATAGTCACAGTCAGAGACCATCTCTGGCAACAGAGCAAGCCTTTGAGAAATCATATTGAGAAGGTTTTATAAAATGAAAGGGGGAATCTGTTTCAGAATGAGTAACAGGTTGACTCTGTTTGGAATGCTAAATGCCACATCCTGCCACAGAAATGGCTTCCCACATTTTCCATGCTTCAGAAAAAAAAAAATGAGTCAACAGCTAATGCTAGTATTCTATTTGCAAGCTTTAACTATAGCTACAGCTTCAAACATTAGCTGTATATGTAATAGGAAACCTATTTTCGTCCAATTTAGAAGTAGAGCATTTTCATTTCATCATCAGCCTCCCCTCTGTTTCCTGTGTTATCAGATGTTGGAGAGAGAGCCAGCGGTCTGTTTGTGAAACTGGCAACTTGGCAGACAAAACATGTATGTTCAACCAGCATTCTTTTCAATAAGAACTTAGTATGGATCTAACCTTATAAGAGTCATAGGGAAGAAGCACATATGCAGAAAGCATAAACCCAGAACAAAAAGGTACCAAGGAATTCCTGAACTGACTAAGCCAATTCTAGAGGTCTCCTTTGAACTCTACAGATTTCTTCAGTTCAATGCTCTCCTTCAAATAGGACACA